AGCATGACTTTTATAATTAGGCAGAACAATAACACTTGTTCAAAAGAAAACAAGGTGAGTCGGAGAGCTGGCGATGGGAAAGGAGGTGGCTGGAAAGCCTGGGAGCAAGCAACAGGAGGGGGTGCGGGCAGATGCTACAGAGGGTGGGAGGGAGGCAGGGAACTAGCTGGGCGCCAAGGCCGGACAGGACGCGCCAGTCGGCAGCGAACCCCAGGGACAGGGAGGGAAGGCGCGTATAGGAAGAGCCCAGCATCCTCATCCCCTGCCCACTGGCTCCGGTTGGCTGGGACCAGCCTTGCTGGGTTTCTTCTAGGGCGCCCACCCTAACAATACTGCTTATCCCAGAAGGAGCCCCTCAGGAGCTTCCCCATCTCCCCGACTCCAGGACCACTACATGGATTTCATTTTTTTGTCTTTTTTTTTTTTTTTTCACAAATTAAAACTGCATCTTCCCCATCCCTGCGGGTGGGTTTATAATTTGCTGTGCCAGAATCACACTAGGGAAGAGAAGAGTCCTTGGGGGCAGGGTCTTTAATAACTTCTGCTGCCCAGGGAATTGACTGCAGGGCCTGAAGGCTTAAGTGGGGGAGCTGGTGTGTGTTCCTGCCTGTGGCCGGGGCTGCGGGGGTGGGGGTGCTGTTCATAGAATGAGGAGGACATCTACATGCAACTAGGCCCCTCCCAAGGGAAGTCCCTCAGTCCCAGAGCATCAGTGCCTTAGGCCCTGGTCACCTGGGGTGCACAGGGTGGAGCCTAAGCCCCCAAGGGCTCTTCAACCTCCTGGCAGGGTGCAGAGAGAGACGCGTTGCCTAGGACATATTGCCTGAGCCAGCTCTGGAGTTTCTCGGTGCCTCTGTTTCCCCACATATAAAAACAAAAGGGTAGGATGCAATGAAATTTCCAGTCTCTTAATCCCAGCTGTCTGTGACCTGCTTTCCCAGGCTCTCACCGAGCTTTTTGTGTTTTTGTTTTTGTTTTTGTTTTTAATTGTTTTTGGTCTTTTTCTTTTTTTTGGAGACAGAGTCTCGCTTTTGTCACCCAGGCTGGAGTACAGTGGTGTAATCTCAGCTCACTACAACCTCCACCTCCAGGGTTCAAGCAATAATGCCTCAGCTCCCGAGTAGCTGGGATTACCAGCACGCACCACCATGATCAGTGAATTTTTTTGTATTTTTAGTAGAGACAGGGGCTTCACCATGTTGGCCAGGCTGGTCTCGAATTCCTGACCTCAGGTGATCTGCCTGCCTTGGCCTCCCAAAGTGTTGGAATTACAGGTGTGAGCCACCGCACCTGGCCACTTTTGTGAGGTTCTTGACCAATTTTTGGAATTTAAAAATAGAGTTCACATAAAAATCCAGATTCCAAACAGTCCGCAACCCTCATTCCTGCTGGGCAACCACTGGAAGAAGCCAATGGAGGCTGCCCCCAAAGACGGGCAGAGCTTCTGCGTTTTGCTGTAGCCTCGGCCACCTGACCTGCCTCCCAGCCCCTTCTCCAGCCCCTGCGGACATGAGTTTGCATCACCCCCCACACGCATGTGCCCATTTTCCTACTCACTGAATGAACAAAAACCACAGGCTCTTGAATCAACCTAGTTATGTCCAAATCCCAGCTCTCACTCTCCAGACCTTAGCAAGGCATTTGACTCCTGCACCTCATCTGTAAAATGGGGATTGTTAAGAGACCACGTCTTATGCAGGGCTGTCATACAGATTAAGGCAATGCATGCAAAGCCCTGAGCGTTGTGCCTAGCACACAGCGGGCACTCAATCGGTGTGGGCTCCTAGCCGTGTCACTGTGCACAGCCCTAGCTTGGAATGGGGCACACAGTAGGACCGCAGCCGATGTTTATTAAGGAAGGACGTACTCAAGACCTGGGGATGGATGACGTGGCAGAGTAGAGGCTCCAGGAGGCTCAGGCTGATGGGGCCGAGGGCAGAAAGGCCTCCTCTCCCAAGTGTGGGCAGGTGTGGGGCGACTCAGCAAACGCAACTTCACACAGGGCGCCCAAGCCTCCGCCAAGGTCTTTGGGCGTTACCTTGGCGCCACCTTCTGGCTGATGCGCGCCTCACAGTCACCCCCTCCGTTCACGTCCCGGGGAAGACCCTACACCCTGAAGAGGTTGGTCCTCTCCACTATTTTCAGAACTGGCAGGATCCTTAGAACTCCTAGGGACCCAGTCCTTCATCAAGCATCCAGGGACAAAAGCCCAGAACTGAGAGTAACTTTCCTGAGGCCACACAGAAAGCTCCTGGCCAATCTCCATTTAGAACCAGAGCTTGCTAACGTTGCCAAGAATAACCACCTCTTCCCTTCGTTAGGGACGCTAAGAAAAACAAAATTGCACGTTGTTGTGCATGCTTCTGCTGATTCTCAGGGGGAACATCTCCCAGGAGCAGATCCTGAGCCTAGGGATGAATGCAGGTTGTTTATTTGGGGTTGAACCCGGGAAGCACCAGTGGTCGAGAGGGCAAGAGACAGGGAAACGATGGGAATCCGTGGCTCAGCCCCTCCAGGGAGCCTCGGAGACGCTGTAGAACACAGCTCACGTTTGTCCCTCCCAAGGGCGAGGGAGCTTGATTGAGTATTTATCCACCCATTTTCAACCCCGGCTGGCTGAGCGTACTTCGGGGAATCAACGCGCCCATCTACAGCTTACCTGGCCTTCCTCGGCACCAAGCATGTTTTCAAGGCCTGGAAAAGCCCTGAGGCAAGTGATTCCCAGCTTGCAGTCAGAAACTGGCTGCTTACACAGTATAGAAATATAAACGCAGGCCTGTCGCAGTGCTCACGCCTGTAATTCCAACACTTTGGAAGGCCAAGGCGGGAGGATCACTTGAGGAGTTCAAGACCAACCTGGACAACATGGTAAAATCCCCGTCTCTACTAAAACTTCAAAAAATTAGCCAGTCGTGGTGGCCCACGCATGTAGTCCCAGCTACTCAGGAGGCTGAGGCAGGAGAGTCGCTTGAACCAAGAAGGTGGAGGTTGCAGTGCGCTGGGGCGGTACTACTGCACTTCAGCCTGGGCAACAGAGCGAGACGATGCCTCAAAAAAGAGAGAAAGAAAGAAATTTGAAGGCAGTGGTTCCCCCAAGTGTGAGCCCCAGAGCAGCAGCATTAATACCACTTGGGACACTTGTTAGAATGTAGATGCTTGATCTCCACCCCAGACCTACGGAATCAGAAACACAGGAAGTGGGCCCCGCAATCTTTAACAAGAACCACCCTGCAAGTAGTTCAGATACACATTCAAGTTTTGTTGTTGTTGTTATTGTTGTTGTTGAGACAGGGTCTCTCTCTGTCACTCAGGCTGGAGTGCAGTGGTATGATCTCGGCTCACTGCAACCTCCAGCTCCTGGGTTCAAATGATTCTCCTGCCTCAGCCTCCCAAGCAGCTGGGATTACAGGCACCTGCCACCATGCCCAGCTAATTTTTGTATTTTGAGTAGAGATGGGGTTTTGCCATGTTGGCCAGGCCGGTCTTGAACTCCTGATCTTAGGTGATCTGCCCGTCTTGGCTTCCCAGAGGGCTGGGATTACAGCCGTGAGCCGCCATACCTGACCCACACTCAAATTTGAAACGCTCTGACCTAGGAGATAATACAGGAAGCGTCAATAGCGTCTGCTGCAGCTTTTGTCCCATTTGTCAGATAAGGAAACTGAGAAGTGAATCGGTGAAAGTGACTCATCCAAGGTCCCACTGTTAGGTGGCACATGGGTCTTTGGTCTCTTTCCACCACACCACCACAGAAGTGAACAACACTCATGCTTAGGCTCTAGGTAGGAGACGAGAATTAGGTCCCAAAGTTCCCCTTCCCGCCATCACCACTTTGCTCCACTTTCTAAACCAAAGGCCTCCACCTGGTGCATCCAAATGGTTCTTAAAGCACTTCTGGGAAGACTGCCAGGCCAGGTGCCCCTCTCTTGGCTCCCAGCTGCCCTCACAGCCTCCATCGGGATGATCCCTCTCCACATCTCCCCTTGCCCCCCATCACCCCTCACCCACCAGCCAGCAGGACGTGTTGGGGAAATCCAAAGCAGTTTCTTCCCTGGGAAAGGTTGAGACCCCTGGGTTAAACCTCACCTCGAACTTTGGTGCCGGAGTTCTGCACCGTACTTTGCATTGCTCTTCCTTCTCCTCCTTGTCCTCCAACCTTCCTCCCCTCCCCTCCGCTCCCCTCCCCTCCCTTCCCCTCCCCTCTGCTCCCACTCCATCTGCCGTTCCTCCTGGCTAGGCTCCCCCTCAGTTGGCTCAGCAGGAAAAGAGAACAGGATGGTTTATTTTTATCCTGAGATACTGCTGGGGGGAAGGGGATGCCATCTGACCAAGAAGCAGCAGCTCCTGCAGCCACAGGGAGGTCAAAAGGCAGTGGGAGACCCAGGATCTCCCTGGGAAGGAGCTACAGATGTCGGTTCCAGAGAGCAGGCAGATCTGGGAGAAACTCAGGACCCAGAGTGGGGAGCTCTGAGCGTGGCACTACCAGACACTGCTGTGTGACTGTAGGAAAGTCACTTTGCCTCTCTGGACCTCCATTTCCCCCTCTGTAAAGGAGGGAGTCGTGCAGGCCCGCCCGGCCTGGGAAGGCTATTTTTGTGAACATGAATCAAATGGGAAGAGCCCTTTGTAACCTCGATGCCACATGTGAGCACACACGGAAACCACCCTGGAGAGGCGGCAACCTGGGACATTCTCATGTATCTACAGAAAATGTCCTCATTCTGTGCGCCTGACAGCAGGTTAAACAGCTCATGTCACCCGGCATGTTCGCCCCCGTTTTTCTTTTTACATGTTTGATGATTTTTTAAATTACATAAGCATTACGTGAATTCACTCTCCTTTTGGGAAAAAAATGAAGCATTATGGGAAAGCCAAATCTCCCTTCAACCAACCCTCCCCCAGCCCCTTCTTCCCCACCTCAGACGTCACCACTCTTCGAGCTGTGGGTTTTCTGTGTATCCTTCCAGAACCCTTGTTATACCAATATATGATGTATATTATATTTATACATAGATCCATAGGCAACGTACATACATAAAAGCATGTACCTTTTTTTTAAAGGTTTCCTACCCATCATTCAGCAACACGCTTTTTTCCTTACTCAACAGTGTTTTTGAGATTCTGTTGTATAAATATATTCCAATTTTATTTGGCCAGTTTCCCGATGATGGACAGTTATGTTTGCTATCACAAACAATGCTGCAGTGGGCACCCATGTATATATATGGCTTCCTGGGTGCAGGGAAGCCACCACGATGCCTCTTGGGGCACCAAACTGCTGGATCGGAAGGGCTGGTGGATATTACTATATCACAGCCCCCGCCACCACCACCAAAGTTCTGCCTCTGTCTTTAATACAGTTGGGAGACTGGATGGGCTCGAGGGATGAAGTGAGAGGTTCTTCAAGGCGGACTGTTTCTCCATCCACTCTTAAGTCTCCTGTCTCAACCCGCAGGGGTGCAAGCAGGAGGGAGGAGCTGTGCCCAGTCAGTGCCAGTCCCTCACCCTCATGCCACAGCAGCAGTAGCACCAGGCTCTCTGGCCAGGTGCCTGTTTGCCCACGTGGCCACACTCCTGGGTGCGTCCAGCTTCACTGTCCCTCCTGCACTGAGATGCGACTCTCTTTACCATCCTCCTGGGCAACTGGTTGACATCCATGTAAAGTCTCCTGCACTGGAGGGGTAGGGTTGGGGCCAGGAAGATCGTCTATCTCCTGGGGAATCTGCTTGGTGCAGGGTACCTGGGGAGACAAGGTGTGAGGTCACCCCAGCAACAGAGGCAGCTGTGCCTCTGAGGAGCCCCTCCCTGGGAAGTGGATCCCCTCCCCAGCTCTTCCCTCTTTCCCAGATGGCAGGTCAGTGCCAATTCCTCGGGTACCTCCTGCCCCCTGCTGGCCACACCAAGGGTGAAGAGGAGCTTCCAGAGTGGGAGTCAGTGAGCTTACAGGGTTGCCATATTTGCTCCCACCCATCTGACCTAGCCCCAAGACCCAGAGACACAGCTCCCCACGTGTCGAATGCCAGGAAAGGCATGGAGAACAGTCAGTGTTAGGCTCTGCCAGGGGTGCCAGGGGCAGTTCTGCAGGGATTGAGCTCTGGGCAGAAGGAGCATGGTGGGTGGAGGTGAGAGTCCCCAATTCTGCTGCCACCCCCCTGGCTGCAGGGACAGACTCTGAATCAGTTTTACTGCCCTATAGGTAACCATGAGGCCATCTTTCCAGTTTGCCAAAACTCTATCCTGGTTCTCAGGGAGACCTACCTTATCCTGTGGCTTCCTGTCCACCTTTTCTAGAGAAAAAGAAAATGAAAGGGGAGTTGGAGAGGCCGGATCGGGAAACAGGTGCCCCCCCCTTCCCCGTCACCTCCCGACCTGGGGACTCACTGATAAAGACCAGCACCAGGAGGATGGCAAACAGGATCCCCAAGATGATGGGGATCAGCAGCAGGAGTCTCCACCGATTCTGGGGACCTGGAGAAACCAGAACTTCAGCATGCACCCCGACCTGCAGTTTCTCCCCACCCCAAACCTGCTGTGACATGTCAGACTCCAGAATCCTCCAGTGTCAGAGCTCATCTGCATCAGAGGGTTCAAACCACAGCCCTTGGGGAAATGTGGCTGGCAGATGTCTTTAAAGGAACCAGACGTTTTTTAATGTTTGGAAATATTTGCCAACATTTTTAAACTGGGAGATCACCTATTAAAACTAGACATCTGACTTCTCTTACAAACTGGGAAGATCAGGTTTCAGTGGGCAGCCTCCCCACCTGGGAACCATCAGCAAGAAGCAAGTGGGGGCGGTGGCTGTCACCGCCTGCTTACCAAGCTCCCCACCACTCCCTGCTCTCTGCCCAGTGCTGAAGTCTAGCATGATTCATGTCTGCATGTTGCTTTTGGTACAGAAGAGCGGAGGGGAAAGGTAAAATATTTCTCGTGCCGAGTTTTTTTTCTAAGTAAGAAAAGAAAAGAAAGACCAAAAGGCAGGGCAGCGACTAGGGTGAGGCGAGGGATGAAATTGTTTCAGGACAAAATTGAAAAGGATGATCAAAAAACTCAGGCATCGAGATAAGTACTCTTTTCATGCCCTATTTTGGAAATCATCAGGCAGACACCAAGTCAGCAAACTACAGCCTGCAGGCTGGCTGCCTATTTGTTTTATTGGAACCAGAGCCAGGATTAGGGTGAAGCAGGTGAGGCAGAGTCATGCAAACACAGGGTCGAATCCTGTTCTTTATTTAAAATGTTGCTATCTTGCTCATCATGGATTTCTTTGCATTAATTTTTATTTTTAAAAATATTGCATCAAAATGAATCTACCAATAAATAATTTTAAAAATGAATCTACCTTGATTATTACACTTTTAAGGCACCTTCTTAAATATTGTGCCCAAGGGCAAGTGCCTTGCTTACCTCATTCTAGTCCCAGCCCTAGGAAGAGGAAGGTAAATTTTAAGAGAAAGCAAAGAGAATGTATTTTTCTTACCCCTGACCTTTTTCACTGATTAACGTTATCTGATCTGTGCTGTAGGCCAACCTTCTCCCTCTAAAATCAAAATCTACTAAGGGAAGTGCTGTTATCATCCCATTTTACAGATGAAGAAACTGAAGCTAAGAGAGGAGAAGTGACTTGCGCAGGCTCCCAAGACAAGTGGCAGAGCTGTGATACCACACCCCCAAACTGCCTCCCCTCCCACTTTTCCCATCCAGTGTCCCTGTGTGCCTCAGTCTCCCCCTTCAGCTCCCACCTTCCTAGGCTGTCTCCGGGGCCCATTTTCCAGGACTCACCACAGACAGCATCAGTCTTGTCTGTTCCTGCCTGTTGCTCAGCCAGGCCTTTGGTCTCACACCTACACACAGACATGTGCACAAATGCACACACACACACACACACACACACACACACACACACAAAGCACACACAGAGAGAGAAAGAGATACTAAGTTTCCCCAAGTATAAGATTTCCAACTCTAGAGCAAGTCAGTCAACAATCAGCAAATCCAGGTTCACTGAGCACACAGTATGTGCCACATCCTATGCTGGTTATTACAGGAATGACACATACTGTGTCCTCACAGAACTTAAAAGTGCAGAGAAAAGATTGTTGCACATCTTGAAGGAGTAATAAATAGGGGAGTCTATAATGAGTGCCAAGCTTTGTGATACAGGTAGGCTAAAGTGAGATGGGAATGGTTCAGAGGAGGCAGAATCCACCATGGCTGGAATGGAGAGATGATGAGTTCAGTTTAAGACAGGGTTACTCAATCAGCACCAGTGACATTTGGGCTGGATCATTCTTTGGCGGGGCGGGGGCTGCCCTACGTATTGCAGATGTTCAGCAGCGTCCCTGGCCTCTATCTGTCAGATCCCTGTCGCATCCCCCTCTCCATTTGTGACAAATGAAATGTGTCCAGACATTGGCAAACGTTCCACAGGGAGCCCCCTGTTGAGAACCTCCCATTTAAGCGTCTTCCGGAAAGACTTCCATGCAGACAAAAGCCAGCTACGCGGGCCAGCTACGTGGGACGATGTGATTTGGGGAAATCAGGCAGGTGGTATGCAGGATGGTGTTAGGGAACTATGGAAAATTGGATCTTTAGGACCAGATCACTGGCAGGTGTGACGTTTTCAACTGGATTCACCTGGTCAGTCTCATCAGCATCCAACCAGAGGACTTCACTAGTGAGAGGATTCAGCTGCTCAGAGAGCTCAGAGGCGGAGAAATTACAGAAGAGTGGCCAGCTAGGAGGCACAGCAAGCATCTAGATATGAGATGATGAAGACCTGGTCCAGGGTGGCCCCAGGAGGAGTGGAGCAGGATGGACACAGGACATTGCAAAGGAAAAATCATCTAAGGTAGGAGAAAAAGAGAGACGCTTTGAAGAAAGCAAGTCTTACATGAGTAGAGCATTCAGTTTACAACACACTTTACATGTCTTTAGCTCAAGCCTTGTGAAATGATGGTCATTCCCATTTTCCAGATAAGGACACTGAGGCTCAGTGAGGCTCACACACTTACTGAGCTGTAATCAGATTTGTAAGCCAGTGCACTGATTCTATTAATACTGTACCACTAGTGCCTCCAGTAGTCGGTCAACATTTATCAGTAAAAATTTATACAGCACCTATTACGCATGAGGTACTGTTCTAGGTATAGGGAATGTATCAGTGAAAGAAAAAATAATGGCCAAGTCTCTACATTTAAGGAATTTGCAATCTTCTAGGGAAAGGCTGACAGTTAACAAATAGTGTAGATGGTGTACTCCTATTTGTGCAAAAGTAAAAGGAGAGAGATTGTGTGTATGCGTGTGTGTGTGTGTGTGTGTGTGTGTGTGTGTGTGTGTGTTGGTTTATTTATATTAGACTCTCTGGAAGGATATGCAAGGAACAATGGCTCCCTCCAGAGAGAACTGGGAGGCTAAGGGGCAGGGATGGGAGAAAGACATCGAGACATGACTTTGGATCTTCTATGCTTTCTGTCCCATGTGTCTATCTTGCCCATTTTTAAAAATGAAAAGCAAAAAGTCAATGGGGCAGGTGTTTGTTTTTTGAGACAGAGTGTCGCTCTGTTGCCTGGGCTGAAGTGCAGTAGCACAATCTTGGCTCACTACAATCTCCACCTCCCAGGTTCAAACAATTCTGCTGCCTCAGCCTCCTGAGTAGCTGGGATTACAGGTGCCCACCACCACACCCAGCTAATTTTTTTTGCATTTGGTAGAGATGGGATTTCACCATGTTGACCTGGCTGTTCTTGAACTCCTGACCTCAAGTGATCCGTCCACCTCAGCCTCCCAAAGTGCTGGTATTACAGATGTGAACCATTGCGGCTGGCCTGGGGCAGGTGTTTACAGTATGTCAGGCAGATGAGTTTGATGGAAGAGAATTAACAGTGTGATCAGAGGATTGCAAGTAGCATGCAGGGCAGAGACCAGGAAATGCAACAGAAAGGGCAGGTGCCATGCTAAGAAGTCTGGATTCCAACAGAGACACAGGAACCACCTCAAATAGGAGAGTGTCGTGATCTGAAAGAAACTATAGAATGCTCACGTTGGCAAGAGGATGGAGAGAGAACCAGCTGAGGGGAGAGACCAGAGGCAGGGAGGCCAGGAAGCAGCAAAGGCATCACCCAGACCACAGTGATGAGGTCCAAACTAAAGTGACAGTGGAGACGGTGAGTTCCCAAAACATGTAGACAGCCAGAGGGCAGGATCTGGTGCAGGTTTGGTGCTAGAAGTAAGACAGGGAGGCCCTCAGGGTGAGCACCCAGAACCCAGAAAGCCCTAGAAAGTCAGGTAAGCTGAAAGCAAGAGGAGGAAAACTGAGGAGAAGCAGGAGGGGTAGAAGGAAAGCTAAGAGAAGTGTCCTAATGCCCCCAAGATGGGAGGCTCTCATGAAGCAAGAGATCACCTGTGTCTATTACCTCTAAAAGAGAGCAGGCAAGAAAAATGCAGACATGTGCCCATCTGGTTGGCCATGAGGCCACTCTGCAGATGCTTCACAAGTGCATGAGTATGTGTGGACCTCTGGGAGTGGGTACAGGACAGGTGGCTGGAGAGAACGGAGGCAGCTCCATGCCATCCTTAGAGCAGGAAACACAAGGGATGAGAGCTTATACCTTGTCCAAGGGCGACATTTTTCGAAAGCAGATGACACATTGGAGAAGCCAACCAGGCAGGGCTCGCAGATGGTGTCAGAAACTCCTGTAGCTGGGAGTGGGTGGGGAGGGGGACATTAACCACCACAGTGGACCACCTGTCTAGCTCACAGGACAGGCAGAGCTCCTACCTTGAGCACTCTTCCCCTGGTGTGGTGCTGCCCCCAATAGCTGCAGTCCCCAGGACTCCTCCCATTGCCCTTCAAAGACAGATGCCCATGGCAGGGGCAGAATGAACAAGGTCCCATCTCCAGCTCACTCCAGTGGGGATGCAGACATAGGTGGGAGCCTCCACCTCCTCTGCCTCTGGAGCTAAGTGCCCAGTGCCCAGCCCCTCACCTTGGGCCCTAAGTTCCTCTGTCCCGCCTCCAAAACATTTCCAGTTGATCCACTTACCGATCTGCTTGACCCCAAAGCCAGGTGGGCATGAACTGTTCGGGACACAGCTCTCACAGGCATTGCTTGTACAGTGTCGGCCTTGTTTACAGATGCAGATGTTGTCTGTTACTGAAGTGCCCTCCTGCTGGACCCGAAGCCCTAGGTCTGAGCAGAGAAGGACAGGAAGGATGGAAACCCCTGCTGGGCCATGCTCTGAGCCCCACTCCCCATGTTGCCTGCGCTTTCTTCCTCAGACCCTCTTCCAAGTAGAGATGGCAATCAAATCATTTAATGACCAGTACAACCCCAACTCCAACCAATCAGAACAGAGCCTGGCTACATAAATCGGAATGGCTGCATTGTCGGGAATATTAGCTGGAATATCAGCCCGGCTCCCAAACGTCCCTTTCCCAAAAGCCCACGCACTGGGGTCGCAGTATTTGTGCTGGTGGCAGTGTGTCTCTCTGTTCCAAGTGTCTAGGAATTCGCCTTTGCCACAAGGAAGGCATAGCGTGCCAGTGGTCTCTGTGCAGTCATTCACCAGTTTCTCTCCTGGAAAACATCAGGAAATGAGGGAGAGCTTTGGCCAACTCCATGAGTCAGACATTAACCACACAATGATCAGGCCAGGCTTTATGGTAGGGGATTCAAAGATGAAGGTCTTGGACCCTTTATAGTCAGGTGAGGAAGATGGAGGAGCTGGGATCTCTAGTCCAGGGTGAACAGAGGTTTACCTGGTAGAGAGGGAACCCAGAACATTCTGACAGTGAAGCAGGGCTGGGAAGTGGGTCGCTTCAGATTTAAGTTTACAGTTAACACATGGGGTCTGTGTCTGCCACAAAAGCAAGCGGAGGGGGGGCTCCGTCATGGGGCTAGAAGGTTGGCATCTCACCTGGCTTGCACAAAGAACAGCACTGACTGTTTATTAGGTACTGTTTTTCTCTGCATGCAGTGGGTGGTTCTGGATGGACCTAAAAACAGAATTATGGCATTTGAAGGGATCTTGAAACTCCACTGCAGCCTCCTCGGCAGAAAGGTGAAAGTCACCCAGGAAAGAGGCTGCAAACTGAAGCGCAAGTCCAAACAGAAAGTGGAAACTGAATGATTGGCTGTTTGTTTTCAAGTAAATTGCCAGCTGAGCTGATTATAATCTCACCCAGAGAATCATTCTGATGTTTTACAAAGTGATGGCACTGGAAACTCACAATATTCTCTGAAGTGAACAGACTTCCTTTGGGCTTGATGCCTGAGTCAGTCCTCTTCTCAAAGATCCCATAGTTCATGGGGACCCCAGCAGCTCCCCTAGAGTCCTGAAGCTGGCTGACTTCAGCTGGCCCAGTGGTGGGCCATGTTTGGCACTTGGCCTCTTCCTCCTATTCTTCTGCTTCTCTTCCTGCTTCTTTCCAAGACCCATCATGTTTTCTTCCTCCAACTCCTCATCTGCTCATCCAGCCCTTCCCTCATAAAATGCTAGACTGTAAAGCTGGAAGAATAAACTCCAACTCTTTCATTTTATAGAGAATTGAGACTGAGCACCAAAGAAGAGGGCCACTTGCCCAGAGTCTCACAGGGACAGTGATTGAATGAGAACTCAGGTCTCAATGCTCCCTCTCTCCATCAACTTGTTTCATCTGCACCATTTTACTACATCCAGGTACCATCCATGCTATTAATTACTTCTTTTTAATGTCAATATTTTTATTTTATTTTGTTTTGTTTTATTTTTTGAGACAGGGTCTCTCTCCATGACCCAGGCTGGAGTGCAGTGGCATGATCTCAGCCCACTGCAATCTCCGCCTCCCAGGTTCAAGCAATTCTCCAGCCTCAGCCTCCTGAGTAGCTGGGATTACAGGTGTGCACCACAATGCCTGGCTAATTTTTGTACTTTTAGTAGAAACAGGGTTTCATTATGTTGTCAGGCTGGTCTCGAACTCCTGACCTCAAGTGATCTAACTGCCTTGGCCTCCCAAAGTGCTAGGATTACACGCATGAGCCACCATGCCTGGCCAATACATTTACTTTAAATGTAAATCTTACATTATTGCCAAGAGACAAGAACCAGTATCACTTCTCATAAATAAAAAGTAACCCTAAAAATAAATTTGGAAGAAACAAAACAAGGTTATTAAACCCCAGCTGGTTGCTTTGCTTGCTGCAGGCCCTCCACCCGAGGCCTGCCCTTTATTTTTGTTTTAAAAGGAGGATTAGCAAGGCTTTGAGAGTCATTAACTCTATTCTAGCTCCAGAGACTTCCTCTTTGAAAAAAAATGAGAAGGATTTTTTAAAGAACTGTAAAGTGAGTCTGTGTTTAATTCTATGTCCATGTGTTCCTTCAAATCATCCCACCCTTTACGAACAGCCAGGGAAAAGAACACAAGTTCGAGAGTCAAGCAGCTTTAGACTTCAGTCTTGATTTTGTAACACTAGCTATTTTGCTTCTCTTAGCCTCAGTTTCTCCATCTCTAAAATGGGAGTAATAATGCCTGCCCTGCAGGTTGGATTGTGAAGATAGGAAATAATAGATGTATATGGCCTGGCACAGTGTCTGGAACATAGTAGGTGCTCATTAAATGGCAATTTTAATCATTATTCATTTGTATCTGCTTACATGGCCAGCACCCTGGCTACTGGGCTGGCTGCCTAGGATCCTACCTAATTGGTGGCTCTCATTCAATCTGGGTATCGCAGCAAATTACTCACAGAAACGTGACTTACCCAAAATGGGGAAGGAAGTACAAAAGGCTACTGCCCCCCGCCAGCTCATCACAAGACACCATTCTATGAATGTGGAGCTCCCCACCACACTCCCAAAGATAGGAAAGTCCTTGACGCCATCTTCAAACACATGAGAAATAAAGCCCTCCTCTAAAAATCTGTCAATCCCCAGTCCTCATTCCCCATAGTTCTGGTTCTTCTGCCACAAAAGAGCTCAGGACCAGAGCTTGGAGAGTCTCACTATCTGAGAGGCAGGCTCAGGAATCAGGCAGGCGTAGATTCGCACCCAGGTTCTCCCATTACCTAGCTATGAGAACTTTGGCAAGACAAGCCCCGTTTCTGAGCCTCAATTTGCCCATTTGTATAACGGGGGAGTTGTGAGACATCAGACCAAGAAAACATGCAGTGTTTGGCTCAGAGCCTGACACACAAGAAGCCCTCAGTAGATAGCCCCTCCCCTTGTTGTCACAGCCCAGCCTCTACCTGGAGCCGAAGTTGGGAGTTATGAGGGCAGACTCTGCTCTTAAGAAACCTGGATCACATCCTTCACCCCACCTTCTCTGACTCTTCCTCCACTCCTCCCACAAGGGCCCTCCTTTACCTCTTTCCAGCTCCGCCCTCCCCCTCCTGCCTCCCTGCTCCCTGAGAGCCATTGCTTCAGGTGAAAGTGAAAGCTCTGGGACCAAAGTAGCCTCCCTATTCCCTCTCTTCCCTTGCTGCCGACCCCCCACGCCATGGGTCATTCTCGCCCAGGCTTCAAGCGGGAATCTATAGCCCTCGAAAGTAGGGGGAGGCCAGAGGGGCTGGGACGAGGGGGCCAGGTACTTAGGGGATTCCCAGCCTCAGAATGAGGAACTACAAAAATATATTTAAACAAAAAGTGAGTCAAGTGTAGGCTTCTGAAAATCCCGTAGATATGCTTGGTTGGCTCTGAGCCCTTCTGGTGTCTGGAGAAACCCTTGGTTTCTCCAGCCTTCTGACCACCAGCCCTGGCCAGAGCTAACCAGAGCCCTGGTGTCCTAACCCTTTATTGGGTCCCATAAACTGTTCATCTCCCTCAGGGGTTCCCTATGTCATCTTAAATTCAGGAGAAAAAGGCACAGCCCTGGGGATTCCTCCTAAGTTGGAACACCCAAGATAGGGGTTCGGGAGGGTGGGGGGCGATATTAAAAGCTCCTTGCCTTCTCAAAAGCACCTGGGCTACTGCCCACCTCTCTTGTTCCCACAAGATGCCCTGGAAGAAGGCAGCCCCAGCTGGCAAGGAGATGATAACTGCTCGCAGAGGCTGGCATCTGTCCATAGTAAGACAGAGACAGGAAACTGGCCAGATCCGCCCCTTCCCTTGGTCCGCCTCACTTCCCGCCCTCTAAACCCCCTACCAGTCTCCGCGTGGCCAGCCTCTGAGGCTCCCTAAACCCATCCACGCCGTCTAGGCACGCTTGTGCAACCAGTGCCTTCTCTGAGCGGCCCCTTTGGACCACCCCGGACCCCGGCCCTGGAGAAGAGAGAGGCAGCCCACCCCATTCAGCCAGGAGTGCGGGCACCTTGCCCAGCTCCCACCCAGCCCCCTGCCCCAACAAAAATCAGCCAAGAAGGTCTCTTCTCCGAAGTCTTGCTTCCCTTTTCTTCTCATTCCCCACTCCCAGATCCCGTCGGGTCGGGGCAAAAACAACTCACAGAGGTCAGCAAGCAGCCCCAGAGGAGACACTGCACCGGCAGACGAAACATGGTGAGGTGAGACCCGGCGGCAGGACCACTGGGGGCCGGAGCGGGGCCTTGGCTAACTCCCCTGCCCCAGCCTTGGCCCCGCCCAGAAAGGGGGCGTGGCCTTCAAAGACCAATCGCGGTCCACCTATAGGGGGCGGCCCCCAGCAATTCTCGGAGGTGGGATTTACCCCAGGACCTTCCCAAGAGTCTAATTCCCCCGGGAGTTTAGGGACGCGCGTCTTGCTGGGTAGGGGAGGAGGCATGGTCCCAGAGAGCGCCCTTCTTCTTTGTCCCCAGACAAAGGCCAAGCTGAGGCGGGCTAGGAGCTAGCCTGCTTCCAGGGAACGGAGAGAGATCCCATGGGTGCTGGGGACTGCCACAGGGACCCTCATGGTTCTCCCCTCCCCGCCCCCCTCTCCGCTGCCTCTAGGTATCCTGGCAAAACCGAAAGAGTCTCCACTGTGGAGAGGCCTGAGGAAGTTCCCCCCACACCACCACGCAGAAAACGGGAAGGCCACAGCTGGCGTGTGGGGAGGCGTTTCAAGGAAAACAGTTTCCCAATAGAGTTTCACTCTCCTTCAAAGGAAATTCCCTCGTGGAGGTCGATGTCTCAACTTCCCATCCATCCATCCATGCATCCATGCGTCCTCACCTCATTCCCTTCCATCCCAGCTCCCACCCAGCACCTGGATACAGGCATTTATTAAGAGTGGGAGCCGGGAGCGGTGGCCCACGCCTGTAATCCAGCACTTCAGGAGGCCGAAGCGGGCAGATCACTTGAGGTCAGGAGTTCGAGACCAGCCTGGCCAAAGGTGAAACCCCGTCTCTACTAAAAATACAAAAATCAGCTGGATGTAGTAGCACTCACCTGTAATCCCAGCTACTCGGGAGGCTGAGGCAGAATTGCTTGAACTGGGGAGGCGGAGGTTGCAGTGAGCCAAGATTGTGCCACTGCACTTCAGTCTGAGAGGCAGAGCAAGACTCTGTCTCAAAAAAAAGGTGGGGAGGGAGCGGACACGGTGGCTCACACCTGTAATCCAGCATATTGGGAGACCAAGAAAGGAGGATTGCTTGAGGTCAGGAGTTCAAGACCAGCCTGGGCAACATGACGAAACCCCATCTCTACCAAAAAAAAAAAAAAAAAAAAAAAGTTTTTTTGTTGTTTTTTGTTTTTTTGTTTTTCCATCTTCCCTCCCTCCCCCAAAAAAGTTTTTAAAATTAGCCAGGCAGGGTGGCAAACACCTGTAGTCCCAGCTACTCAGGAGGCTGAGGCAGGAGGATGGCTTGACCCCAGGAGGTTGAGGTTGCAGTGAGCCATGATTGAGCCACTACACTCCAGCCTGGGCAACAAAGCAAAACCCCATCTCAAAAAAAAAAAAAAAAGCACCAGCCTTTTGCGGCATCATAAAACACTTTAAGAATGTTAGGAAATGTGGGGCCCTCTTGTTTTGCAGAAACACACACACACTTGTGCCTACATTTCCCAGGTTCATGACTTCTGAAGCCTTTTTTTTTTTTTTTTTTTTTTTTTTTTTTTTTTTTTTTTTTTTGAGATCGAGTCTTGTTCTGTCACCCAGGCTGGAGTGCAGTGGCATGATCTTGGCTCACTACAACCTCTGCCTCCTGGCTTCAAGCAATTCTCCTGCCTCAGCCTCCTGAGTAGCTGAGATTACAGGCAGGTGCTACCACGCCTGGCTAATTTTTGTATTTTTAGTAGAGACGGGGTTTTACCACATTGGCCAGGCTGGTCTCAAACTCCTGACCTAAGTGATCCTCCCACTTCGGCCTCCCAAAGTGCTGAGATTACAGGTGTGAGCCACTATACCTGGTCCTCAAGACGTTCTTGAACCCGTGTTAACACTCTGCGTTGCAGCATGGAACACCTGGGTTCTGGTGCAGGCTCTGCCTCTGAAGGACTGTGTTCCCTTAGGACTAAATTTTTCTCCAAGGAAAACTTAGGAGCTTGAACAAGGCAATGGTTGGGAAGATGACCCTCCAAGTTCTCAATTTCTGGAACAAGCCAAGAGGCCAGACCTCACAGATCAGGAAGGATGGAAGGGGAGGATGCTTCTAACCCCATTCTCATGGCTTCTGCTGTTAAGGGTACATTTTGCAAGTCTTAAGGATTCTGCCCCTAGGATCCATCCCCTATTTTTTTCTCTCCTCTGCCACTGTCCTAATTCAGAGGCTTCCATCTTTCATCTCGACTGTCCCAACAGCCTCCTTTGTTCCATAGAACACATCGAGCACCTATTATGTGCCAGGCAACTCTTTACACTGCTGCAATTCTCTTGATAAACTGCAGATCTGATTGATTGGGACACCTCCCTCCATAAAAACCTCTTTGGGTTTCCCTACACCCTCAGGATGATCCAAACTCCTTATCCTGGCAGAGCACATCCTTCCCCACACAGCCTCAACCTCTCTCTATGCCCACTTCCAGCCATGTCCTCCCATGCACACTGGCTTCAGCCTCTTCCCACTTCCCAGACACACAGTCTTCTTTCCTGACAGTTTATCTCATTGTGTCTTGCTGTTCTCTTCCTTTACTTCTCCTTTCTTAAACAGTTTAGATGTTGCCACCTCTTAACCCTTCCCCAACTCCCTGAGACAGAGGTAGGCACTCTATCCCACCCTGCCTCCTCCCCTGTGTTGCCACAGCATTTAGCATGCCAGACCATAACTCCTTCTACCTGGTCCCATTTGGTTGTAAGCTCCCTGAGGGCAGGACTGGATCTTCGGGGAAGAGACCTTCTTGGCTGATTTTTGTGGGGGCAGGAGGGTGGGTGGGAGCTGGGCAAGGTGCCCACGCTCCTGGCTGAATGGGGTGGGCTGCCTCTCTCTTCTCCAGAGCTGGGGTCCGGGGTGGTCCAAAGGGGCCGCTCAGAGAAGGCACTGGTTGCACAAGCGTACCTAGATGGCATGGATGGGTTTAGGGAGCCTCAAAGGCTGGCTACACAGAGACTGGTAGGGGGTTTGGTGGGCGGGGAGGGGAGAACCATGAGGGTCCCTGTGGCAGTCCCCAGGACCCACGGGATCTCTCTCCATTCCCTGGAAGCAGGCTAGCTCCTAGCCCGCCTCAGCTTGGCCTTTGTAGGTCCTGGGGACAAAGAAGAAGGGCGCTCTCTGGGACCATGCCTCCTCCCCTACCCAGCAAGACGCGTACATAATAGGTCACCAATATATGGGTGCTGAATGAATAAATAAATGAATGAGTGGGTTCAGCAACCGTTCATCCTAAGTACAGCCTCCACCATGAAAAACAGTTGGGGGCAGGGGGTGCGAAGCTGGTAATGTCAACATAGACCTCCAGCTGCAGTGGCCTCTTGAGGATGGTAGTCAGATACCAAAAGGCCAGAAACTCTTGAAATCAGGTTCTAGGGAACTTCATTAAAGCCACCCAAACATGCCCAGGATGAAGAGAAGATTAAAATATCTTTTCCCTTTTTAACCCACTTTGAAAAAACAAGCACGGTTTTAATTCCTTTGGGAGAGGGGCGTTACTATAATAATTTCAGCCATTACTTATTCTTTATTTGCTTGATTCCAAAATTGGGCCTTTCACAAAACTGCCTGGGGAAGCAAGTACACAGAATTAAAACATTAATTATATTATATAAAACATATCATAGCAGCAATTAAAGCAGCTTAAATTAATGTGTGAAGGAATAAATGTTAGCCTTCGGGTTACCCCATGGGGCGAAGACCAGATAAGATAAAGGGAAGATATTTTAGTACATACATATCCTGAGGAGACATGCGCTGGCGGGCACAGGCCCAGAGAAGGCCTAGAGTCTTGTCGAGCTGAGAAGAGTGCGCTGGAGGAGGAAAGCGAGAAGAGGATTTAAGGGAAAGTGGCAACATTCCAGGCCAATCAAAAAGGGAACAATGAAGGATTCTGCAATAGGAATAGAGCAAAGGACAATTTAAAAGAGTAGGGACCCAGGATTTTGAAAACACAGAGACGAAATGGCCATTGTAGGGAGGTGGGTTCACAGTGCCAGGTGAAGAGGTGAGGAGCATGCCTAGAGGTCCAGTGTCCACAGCGCTGCCAGAATCTGGCATCCAGAGTGTCCCGTCTAATATGCAAATCCAATCGTGTTGCTCCAAGATTTAAACTCCCCAGGGCCCTTACTTCTTAAGTTTGCAGAGTTACAAGGCCATGGGCCTCCTGGTCCGTATCTCTAAGCCTCCTTCCTGCCTTTCCCTTCACGCTCCAGCCCCACTCCCCAGATATCCCATGCTGTCACCTCTGCCTGGAGAGCTCCCCTCCCACTGCTACTCTCCTTTCACCTGGCCAACTCTTTCTCACGCTTCAAGGTTCATCTCAGGTTACCCTCCTCTGAAAATCTCTCTCTAACAACCAAGCTCTCTCCCTATGCTCTCTCAGAACCTGAAGCAGCTTACCCCAGCAAGACTCTAGCCCAACCACGCTGTATTTCAATTATTCTGTTTACTTGTAGAGCCAGTGTATTGAGGCAATTCAACTCCGTGGGGCATAATAATGAAGATTTTCTCCCCTAATCTCTGCCTTCAGCCATGCTGTGTTGAATCTCCCTTTTCCATCCCTTAAGGACATTTTGGGCAGATCGCATTACTTTCAGATCACTTTCTGTTGTTAAACCTCCATCCTTTAGAGCTTTATTCTCAAACTCGATTTCAATCTCATTTTATCTTCTCTCTTACTCATTCAAGAGTTGACTTGAGCCAGGACCCTGCCTGCTAGGAGGAAAAGGACTTGGTGGAGGTGGGGAGATGGTCTGACTGGGAGACACACCCGCCACGCCCACCCCAACCCCGTGTCCATATACGGTTTTTCATGGACAAATGAGTTCCTTAGAGGATTCTCCACTGCAGATTTTTGACAGGGTCATCCAGCCCAGGCTTGACCTCTGCTACCTCGTCCCCACCACCTGGGACCTGACACTCCTGACTCTCTTGCCCAGCTCAACCTGCTTGAGTAGGCTACCAGAAAAGTGTGCCAGCCAGGCTAATTACCGCAATGTCCACTTGACCCAGAGAAGCTCACGCATCCACCCAGCTGCACCACAATGCCCCTCTTCTCACCTCTCCTCTCCCCTGCTCGGATAGGCACAGTCCACTG